TCTCTCTCTCTCTCTCGCTCTCTTGAAGGGTTCAGAAAGAAGCATTGGGGAATAGGAAGACTGCCCAATGATTACTAGCGGGGGTGAGGTGGTGTAGCCTTAAGAGCAAAAAATCAAGGACAGAAGGCCTTGAATGATCATAGGGCACCGTCGTATAATGAATGTTTAGCATCGTATTATGTATAGTACATGAATGTTAAGATACAATCTTAAATAAGATAAAAAAACTATTATTATTATTACTATGGTTATTATTACTATTATTACTATTCTGATTATTATCACTATTGTTATTATTACTATTAGTCTTATTATAGGCGACAAGAGCACTAAGGCGGCATCGACCTATTTCCATCTCTTCAGGCGCCCGAGCTCGGCATCTCTCAGCAACAACACACTGCAGAACGGCCTGTAAAATCGGAAGAGCTCTCTTTTGGTTTAGTAAGGGGTTTAAAGTTCGGGAGTTTAGGCTTGAGGGTGTTTTTTGGTGTGTTGGGATGTAGGTTTGTGGATTTAGGGTTGAGGGTCTTCTGTTGGTTTTGGGATGTAAGGTTTAAGGAAGGATGGTTGGGATCCTTCAGTCTATCAGTTTCTGCAATGATGTTCGGCACCCAGCCCTAAACCCTAAACCCTAAACGCCGCAAGGCACGAACTCTTGGGTGCTCCTTTTTCTCCGTCCCAGACCTCCATGACCCCGCCGGGCCCTGGGTGGGAGTCACCGGAAGCGTTTCAGAAGGCGTTGTGGTGGTACAATGCTATCATCCCTCAATGGATGGCGCAAGGTCCATTACTCTCCGTGCAGGAGATAGCTCAACTGGGCTTTCAGCAAATTGCGGTTTTGCTTCAGCTTTTGGGTGGTAGCCCAACCCCAGGCAAGGCTGCACAGAATCGTGCTGAAAGCATTTCCGCGCCCACGCTCTTCATTTGCGGGAACGAAGATCACGCAATCCTTTGTACGAAACCCTTCTCAAGGGCGACGCAGCAGTATTGCAAAGGCAGCTATGAGTTTTTGGAGGTAACGTGTGGGCATGATCTCCAGCATTGCCATGACCCGGATCAGACTGGAATCGTGAATGATGCTATTCTCGACCATATCAAGAAGCATTCGCATTGGTGGTATGCCAGGTATGCTTCTCGCAAGTGAATTCACATTGTAAAGCAGTCTCTTCAGCTGGGCCCTAAAGGTTGCCTGAAGAGTACCTAACTCCGCTAAACTCAACCCTCCAAGCCCTAACCTCCCCCAAACCAAACGGAATACACGTCACCTGGTCGCTCCGGCCTACTTGGATCACGCGGTCCAACACCGGCAGACGTTTCTGTTTTCAACTCTATAGTATGGCTCTGTAGACTCACAGTTGCAGGCTTTCGGGCCCAAAGAGAATGGGCTGTGTTGAGCCTAAAGGAAGTGATCGAAAATTCCAGTGCGAAGCCACTTGGGAGCGTTTCAAAAAGTTTGCCTTCGAGAGCTAACATGCACTTCATATTTAGCATCCCTGAGCCCTGCAGAACCTGCAGCTTTGGGGTCAAAATTTTTTGTCCTTAAGAGTCACAGGACTTAAAACAATAGGTTTTAGAGTGCGACGTGTGGGCCAGGCGCCAAGATCCTAATCCCCAAACCCCAAAACCCTATGACCCTAAACCCCAAACCCATTTTGCTACGTTAAACTCTTTTCGTAAGATGTGTGTTTTAGATGACCCTATTCCCTGAACTCTAAAGCCTAAACCCTAAACCCTAAACCCCAAAACCCAAAACCCTAACATACCTTCAGCCCTTCGTCGATCGCCGAAGCAAAAGGGACCTATTTCTCGGAGGCGCGGAGTTGGTTAGCTGGCAGCCTCGGCGTCTCGTGTTTTGCCCACAGCCTCTACCGTAGCTCCTTCCTTTTTTTTGTTTAGGGGTTTAGGGGTTTAGGGGTTTTGGGTCTATTGTTTCAGGGTTTAGGGGTTTAGGGGGTTTAGGGTTTATTGAAAGTTTATTGTTTTAGGGGTTTAGGGTTTTCGGGTTTAGGGTTTTAGCTTATCCTATGGTTAGAACCCCGACCGCGAAGAAAGAACGCCGGCAATCCCACCAAAGGGTGCCGGATAAAGCTCTTATAACAGGGTACTAGCTTCTCTGCTCCGGACTTGTCAGCGGCATGTTGCCGAAGCCATTACAGTGAGTGCTCTGAGCAGAGGGTTTAGTGTGAAGGCATAGTTTTGGCTGCAGCTTTAACCTCGCAGCCTCAACCTTCTGTAAGCCCTGCCAAACCCCCCCAAAGCCTGAACCTTAAACCCTAAACCCTGAACGCTGAACCCTAAACCCTAAACCTATAAACCCTAAACCCTAAACCTGAACCTTTAACCCTAAACCCTAAAACCTAAACCCCTAAACCCTATACCCGAAACCCTAAACACCTAAACCCCAAACCCGAAACCCTGAACCCTGAACTTATAAACCCTAAACCCTGAACCCTAAACCCGAAGTCCTGAACCCCAAACCCCAAACCCGGAACCCCTAAACCCTAAACCTTAAACCCCAAACCCTGAACCCTGAACCCAGAACCCAAGCCTCAGCCCCAGACCTCTTTTAGCGGCTTGAAGCATGTCGCCGCGACGACAGCGGCTCCGGAACGCTCTCAAGGCGCTTCCTTCATGGTGTTTTGGGTTACCGGGGTTTAGGGGTTTAGGGTTTTAGGGTTTAGGGTTTAGGGGTTTAGGGTTTAGGGTTACGGGGGTGAGGCGCTTAGGGGGTTTTGAGGTTTTGGGGTTTTGGGGTTGAGGGTTTAGGGTATTACGGAGTTGAGGGTTCACGGTTTACTGCTTCAGACGGTAACGCCCGAAAGTGGAGAAGCCCAACACTCACAACCATAAGCCATAAACCCAGAAGCCGATATCCGCGTGGCCTTGTAAGTTAAGATATATCGGACGAGTGAACGTTCAATCGAATACCAAGCTTCGAGCCGCCTGCAGCCGTCCTGAAGCCCGTCCAAAGACCCAGCTGCTTTCCATACTGCTTGCAGAAAGTGCTCCGCACCCGGTAGGACTTGTCCATAAAACTCGCCAACTTACCCGGAATCCCAAACCCCTAAACCCTATAAACCCTAAACTTACCCGAAACCCACGAAGCCTTCAACAAAAACCCGGAACGTGTAAACCCCCAAGCCATCCTGGGAGCTTCACCCAAATAGTGCAATTGAAGGCCTTTTGTGCCCTGTCAGCTGCGCTGACGCTCCTTTGGCTTGGTGTAGGGTTTAGGGTTTAGGGATTAGGGTGCTTGGTTTACAGTAGGTGTTCCTGGGCTGCTTTCGGAAGAGCCTCTGCAGAAGCTGATTGTGCTTTGACGCTCTAGGCTGGGGGCCTTGCATCTGGGGTATGCTATCGAATAGTGATGTTGGGACTGTAAGGGGATATTGTTTGCCCGACCATCTCTTTTCTTGCTGCAGCCTTTGCTAATTTGTACAGCCAGTCTTGTGCAAGGCTCCAGTGCTTCGTGTCGCCCTTCACCGGGCACCCGCGCAGCATCGCAGAGCGGCCTGGTACGAAAGCGAAACTGGGTGACACACGCTAAGGAGTCTGGGATTTGTTTCGATGACAAAGTGTGAGCCCCCTCCGGACTACTCTTTCTGTAAGCTGTCTTTGTCGCCACACCACCCTCCCGGCTTTCCCGGTGTCTTTGCTCTACTGGGTACAGAGTGGTCAAGAGGGTAGCTTTTTCGGCTCTAGAAATAAGAGAGCCCCCTAAACCCAAACCCTAAAACCCGAAGCCTAAAGCGCCAAGGGTTTAGGGGTTTAGGCTTAGGGGTTATGTAGGGTTTAGGAGCCCCGGCAGGACTATCACTACTAAACCTCGTTGACCTGAACCTAACCAAGTCTATGATCCCCACTGACAGAAACCATGGACTGAACCCATGCACATCAGTCATGGATTCAGGCTTGCCGCCCTAGCCTCAACAGACCCCCAACCCCTAAATCCTGAGCTCCAAACCCCGAAACCCCAAACCCTAAACTCCAAGCCCTTGAGCTCCAAACCCCAAACTCCAAACCCTAAGCCCCAAAACCCTAAACTCCAAACCCCAAGCCCTAAACCCCTCGAAGCCCCAAGCCAACTCAGGGGCAAGGCTTCTGAGCCTCAGCTGCGTCGCCCCGCGGCGCCGACGGAAACTGCTGGGATGGAGAGAGGTCGCGGGTTTCGGGTGTTTTTGGGATTTAGGGTGTAGGCGTATTTAGGGTTTTTGACAGTTCTTTTTGTGGCAGTCATAAGGCAACACGTGGGTTTATGTTGAAATGGGCTTTTATACCGGCTGCGTAAGGTTGTTTCTATAGGCGTCTATAGGATCGTGTAAGGGCAGAATAGCGACTTTAGACGGCTCGCTTTGGGCGCTCTAAGGGTCAAAAAAGCGGGCCTTTAAGGTTGGATATGTAGGGTTGCATGAGGATCTTATACGAGTGTTTTGGCAAGGAATGTTTCAAGGTTCCTTTCGGGTGTCTAAAGTTAGCATGGGAAGGAATGCATCTTGCTTAAGCTTATATCTACGCGCTACAAAATCCTGAGCAAGGACCTGGTTGAGAGAGTTGTTGTGGCTTGTGGGCGATAGACTACGCTTTTGTTCAAAGAAGGGTTTTCCAGCTTTAGGTTGTGGGGCTTAGAGTTGTGCATTTTGGGGTTGAGGGTTTCGAGTGCAGTGTTTCTTCAACAATGGCTTGGGCTGTATGCATTGTGGAATTTTTAGGGTTGAGTTTTTGGGTTTAGGGTCTAGGATTTGGGGTTGAGGTTTTCGTGGCCTGGTTCAGGTTCCCTTGGCAGTCCGAAAGAAGATCGCGTGCCGGCTGCGGCGGGAGCCAACGCACCTCGCCAGGGGTAGCTAGTTCTGGGCAGGCGCAAGAGAATACAGGGAGGGGACAAGCAGCAGCAGCAGCAGCAGCAGTGTAATGTTCACTTCATATTAAGAAAAGGCCCCCCCCACCCCCCCAAGGATGTGAGCCCGCCTCCGTAATAAGAGTCCGGAGCCAGCATCAAGCCACTCATCAGTGTCATGAGTCTAGCTTGTGCTTCTGCAGTGTTCCCGGATTTGAAGCCAATAGTGTCACAGCCCGAGCCTGAAAGCCTTTTCAGTTCCTTTGAGATTTCATCTATATAAGCAAAATTTTGGTTTCTTTTTTCGCTCCGGCCACTCGGATGGATTTTGCAATTACGCGGGGGATTCTAAGTATCAGGTTGACAATCAGTATCGTTATCATTATCAATCAACCAATCAATCAAACAATCAATCAAAC